CTTCTCTACCAACGGTAAACTAATCAACCGCCACGATTCGCTTTCCTACAAACATTGGAATAAGGGTGGCATTCCATACTTCACAAACTCCTTTACCACACTTTTCTTGCTTTCGATGCAAATGTTCCAAAAGTACTCCCTATTTGTGTCTGATCCGAAAGAGTCTTTCCACTCCCACTGAGCTCTAGTTGACTGGCTCGCTCTCACACGGGAATAAATATCTTAGGCGATATGTCAATTGCGCTCATTATAATGTTTGTCGTAAAAATTATAACCAACCTCCGAGTCGTTGGACACGTGTACTTTTATGGGGCACATAATCTTTCTCCATTCTGTTCGATGGATGCAAGTATCTCATCCAGAAAGTCCCCGTTCTCGTTAATAAGTGGGGAAGTATGTGGTGTGATGTGTTGGTCGCCACCAGCAAGTTCGGCTTCAATTTCGGTGATATCAAGGGACCCGAGGACGTCGGTCCAGTCACTATCGGCGATTTCTCCCGTTTCGGTAATATCAAGGGACCCGAGAGCATTGGAGATCCATTCAGGTGAGTTGGTGGTTTGAGTGAGACACTGGTCGAGACACTGGTCGAGACAAGAGGCGAGGCTGGATTGATTGTCTCTAAATATCTGTTCGACCATGGCTTCGACGTCTGCACGGTCGCTGTCATCGAGAGGTAGGGGCTTCTGCTTCTTCGCTGGCACTTCCTCCGTTCTGGTCCAGGAGACGGGTGATGGGGTCTGAGAGTCGGGCGTTCGAGTCCAGGCGACGGGATTTTTGGTCATTGCTTGGAACTGCCTGGCGTTTATTTTGATGGCTTCGAATTCGTTGGTATACCTGTCGACGGCAGCGAGTTGTTCCATTAGCAATTCTCGTCGGCGCTCCACGGGCATCTTGCTGAGTGCAGGGCGGTCAACACATTCTGGTCGAAGTACTTCGACCGTTCGAAGACACAGTGGCTTGGCACCTGCTACGGGTGTGTAACCAAGTGTGTTTATACAAAAGTCCACGAGGCGTTGGACGAAGGCTCCTTGAAGGTCGGTGCCACCTTCTGCGACCTTTGCTGCATGCTGCAACAAGCAGCCCGTGACCCAGTGTCCGGCTTTGCGTAGTTCGATTACTCTGTAAAGTTCTTCCCGGAGGGGCGTGGCAACATCTCCGAAAGGTGTGGGTAAATAAGCGGCGATGATAGCGCCTAGTTCGAGTAGATGATAGTCGCATGACGAGAATCCTTCGAGCCCGATGGTGCGCAAATGACGCCAACTCTCTTGTGACAACGTCTCATGTAATGCGAGATACGCATCAAAGGATGTCCTGAACAACTTGGATGTCAACTTTGTTACACCCACACGTGACGGGACATACACCGCCACGTTACGCACATCTTCAGCTACAGAATCACACGGCCCCACTTGACTCCATGTTGCCGGGTCCCAAGGACGACTGTCTGATACTACCGCGCTTCGAGACCGAGACCGCCTTGACGGAACAGCCAGACCATTGTAACCATCCTTGTCCAACGGTACCCAATACTGACGAGCCCATTTCACCTCAGGCGGAATTGGCGATAGCTCCTTCCACCAACCCGGAGTCCACGAACCCAAACCGACTACCTCTGCCTTCTCCAATTCCGCATCGTCCAACTCCGGCGCCAGGTGCACCTTCACGCGGGCTTTTAACGGAACGTACTCCGCCAGGTGCATCTTCACAGGTGAGTTCCGAGCGGATAACGTCAGAGGTGAATTCCGAGCGGATAACGTCAGAGGTGAATTCCGAGCGGACAACGTCAGAGGTGAAGCAGGCGCTGGAGGAACGAAGGGAGAACCGCACGCGGAACCGCCGGCAGGCGAAAAAGGCTGTATTGAAACCGGCGGCGAAGGCGGCGTCTGGCTCTGGAACGAGACGGGTGCGGGAATCGAGGGCCGCGAGCCACTCAGGTTCGAGGGCCGCGAGCCACTCAGGTCCTCGGGCTCTGGCCCTGGGATCTCGGGCATGTTGGCGTCTCCGAAAATATTCGTCGACGGAAGTCGTGCGGGCACCGAGACGGTCAAATTGAGCGCTTCTGACTGTGTCACGTCCATCGGCGAGGAAATTCGCAACTCGGATAACGCGTCTGAGACCAAAGTTCTGGGGGTCGCAGGACGTTTGCGACGCACTGCGGAGCCTGACGCCACCGTCAAGTCCATCGGTCCTACCGGTGACGGGGCTCTCACGCAGACCAGATTTAGCGGAGAAGTTGACTCCACCTGCGACTGCTCCACTGAGTCCGAACGTGAGTGCGAATCGAGCACCATATCAGACGCGACCACACACTGTAGAGAAGGCGACTTTAGAGACGGCGGTTCTACAGCCATCGACTCCTCAGGGACTGACTCCTGAGGGACTGACTCCTGAGGGACTGACTCCTGAGGGACTGACTCCTGAGGGACTGACTCCTGAGGGACTGACTCCTCAGGGACTGACTCCTCAGGGACTGACTCCTCAGGGACTGACTTCACCACAGTCTCCGGTTTCGGCATTTTCCGCGCCGGCACTTTCCGCGCACTGACCACCGGAGCCTCAGTCTTGGTCGTTGCCGAAGCGCGTGCGCTTCTTGTCATGACGCGGTCGGCTGCGACGGGCACAGCCGCACGCATGCTGCGCGTCATGCCACGCAACTCCGCTGTAGTTGATGCCGCCGTAGTTGATGCGGCAGTGGTTGATGCGGCAGTGGTTGACCCGGTCGTCGTCGGTTTGTTTTTCTTGGTGGCGGCGCGTTTGGCCTGCAATAGTTTCCGACGAGTCGAAGTCGATACAGATGAGATTCTTTCACGCACAACCGGCGTGGATATATGCATCCGGTCGGATGTGGCCAAGACAACGAGACTCCAATGCAGCGGATCATGGTCCTTTTGGACGCTCTCAACAACTCGCATCTTCGATAACCTCCTCGATAAAAAATTATAACCACGCCGGCCGGCCGGCCGGCCGGCATGGTGACCGACACTGGCGAAATCGGAATACTATTCTGGACGCAGCACCGCTGGGAGGATATTCCTGGAAACAATATTTCCATAAGAGGGCCGGATGTAAATGGGAGCGATGGTTCGTTGATCTGTGTCCTTAAAGTTGTACAAAAAAGAAGCTTGCACCAGACGAAGTTTTTACCGGCCGTTCGTTATTTTCAATTAAGACCGCCGGGCAGACCATGAATTGGCCCCAGATCATGGCTTTAGTCCATGGCTTTAGACCATGAAGTTTCCATCATGAAGTTTCCATCATGGAGTTTCCACCATGGGGTTCAGACCACGAGCTTCAAGGTTGATCGGCGTAGTCTCCCGAGTATATCCACGCTGAGCCTTCTCCTGCTGGGTAGCCTGCTGGCTTTGGTGGCGATTCGGGTGCCGTCCATTCCGGTCCCGCCCATTCCGGTTCCGCCCATTCCGGTTCTGTCGGTCCCGCCCATTCCGGAGCCGACGGCGGCAGTGTCCGGTTTTGTTCCGGATTTTTTTCAGACGGCGTTTGTGACCAAGTGGTCGTTCCGGAGCTTGTCCAAGTGGTCTCGATGGCCGATGACCATAGTGTAGAGTCATCCATCCAGATAGAATCAGACCAGGTTGGTTCTTCGAGTTTCTTGGTCTTAAGGAATATGTCAGAACACACTTTCAGCATCGGTTTAGTCGTTGTGCTTGGTTGCAAGGCCTTGCGATTTCCAGTCTGGGTAGTCTCAGTCTGGGTAGTCTCAGTCTGGGCAGTCCCCATCCTGGTCTTAGCGTTTCTCCTTTTTTTGGCGGGCGGCTGCTCAGTGTCAAGAGTCAAGTTGGGTTCCGTCTGGCGCGTTATATTTCCGGATAACGTTGTCGATCGGTTCAAGGAAGGATTTGTCTTGATCGATTCAGGTCTCATCTTTGCGTACTGTGTTACGGTAAGAAGGGTGGTGGGTAGTTTTTTGAGAGTTTTTTGTCGAATACCGAGGTCGGCTGAGATACGATCGACGAGGTTGCAGCCGAGAATTGAGGCGCAGAATTCAATTGTACGTCCTAGAATATTTTTGTACAGACGAGTCGCCATTGATTCAAGTGGATCTTCATCTTCTTTTTCGTCGAGTGCGTACATGAGCTGTTGGATTGCGAAGGCTTCATCGTCGTCGGGGTCATCATCATACAGTCCGTTGAGTGCGTATTGCAACAAGCACGCGGTTACCCACACCTCGAGTCTACGTGGTCCACTTTGATCCGGTCCAGTTTGATCCGGTTGAGTTTGATGCGGGCGGCAAAACTCTGGACAAATTTGAGTGCTAACATACTCGTCAATTTTTCCGAATGGGGCCCGTACGTAGTAGGTGAGGATGTCAGCAAGTGTAAGTAGGTGAGAGCCACACATTTTGAAGTCTTCAGGACCTATCGTTCGCAATCGTTTCCAAAGGAAATCTGGAAGTGTGTTATGAATAGCACGATAAATTTCAAATGGAGTATTAGTCGAGCAAAATGTTGTTGGAGCAGGTCTTGTAGGAATGTATAGTGCACGATTACGGGAATCGGTGGCATGTGAATCAACTGGACCTATCTCTGTCCATAGCCTTGGATCATAACCCGTTCGTAAACAATCGGGCAATCTCGGACGTATACCTAATACTCCAAATTCCTCTTCATCCAATGCCAACCAATAACTACCCACCCATCTAGCTTCCCGCTCCACCGATGTCCGACCTAACCACCAACCTGGTACACGCTGAACCAACTCCTTACCCACCCACCAGTATGCAACACAATCATCCAACTCCTGTCCCGACCATTTCCAAGCCTGGTGTATCACAAACGGAGTTGAAACAGACGGAGTTGAAACAGACGGAGTTGAAACAGACGGAGTTGAAGGAGACGGAGTTGAAGGAGACGGAGTTGAAACAGACGGAGTTGAAGGAGACGGAGTTGGACATTGGTATGTCGACCCAGCACTTGAAGGTGGTAGAACCATCGTTGAAGAAGCTGGTAGAACCACCGTTGAAGAAGGTGGTAGAACCACCGTCGACCCCAGGGCAGTGAGTGAGGCGGTCTTAACCGCGGCGGTCTTAACCGCGGCGGTCTTAACCGCCGTTTTGGCAGCGGTAGTCGTACTGGTGGCTATCGCCTTCGTCTCTGTAGGCTTGACGGCGTTTCCACAAAAGGTGTCTCCCGTCGTCGTCTTGATCGCGTCTGAAATTGCCAACACCAAATAGCTCCAACGCGGCTCCCTACGGCGGCTTGCGACCACTCGGCCGGACGCCCTTAGTTGCCTTCCTAGTGTTTGCCCAGCCATGACTCGCATCTCGTACGATAAAAATATTCCCGCGGCCGGAACGCCATAACAGCTTCAGCGAGCGCTTTTCCGTGGAGGTTCGACCCACCCTTGGCGGCAGTGGTCGTAGTTATCCCACCCGTAGTTAGCGGCAGGTAACCCCGTCGCCTTGACGACGTTCAACGGCGCCTTGACGACGTTCAACGGCGCCTTGACGACGTTCAACGGCGCCTTGACGATTACTTTTACCGTTTCGGTCATGGTTCCATTGGTCATGGTTCCATGGGTTATGGTTCCATTGGTCATGGTTCCATGGGTTATGGTGGCGTTGGTTATGGTGGCGTTGGTTGGTGTAATTTGGTGGTGGTTATTTTGTAATAAAAAAGTGTGTGTGTGTGTGTGTGTGTGGGCACACTATGAATAAATTATTGGAGTTGAAGGCAGCGAATGAGAGGTTGGAGAATTATGCTCGTAGTTTGGAGTATCATATAAGTCAGTTGGTAGCTTTGCCTGGTGGTCGTCGTAGTTTGGGTTACATGTTGGAGAGTCAGCGTGAGTTGGAGACATCTTTAGAGGAGAAGAGTGAAGAGTTGCGTAGCGCGATGGTAGAGTTGGAGGAGAGGAGTGGGGAGTTGAAGGAGAAGAGGGTGGAGATTGAGGAGTTGAAGGATGCTGGTGTAAGAGAGCAGAGGCGAGTGTATGAGGAGTTAGAGGCAGCGAAGAAAGGTTATCAAAAAAGTTACGAGTGTGAAATGAACCGTCTTAGAGAAGAATATCGGCGTCGATTGGAAGTTGATAAGCAAGAAATAATGCGTGAGTTTGACCGATTACGATGTCATTTGGAATCGGAATATGATAGTAGAAGAGTGCGAGAAAAGAATGACATAGATCAGTTGAAAAAAAAATTAGATGGAGAAAGAGAAGATTTGAGGCAATTAAAAACTGAGTATGAGACACGAAAGAAAGAATTAGAGTCAACAACAAACCGTCGTATTGAACAGATTCAATTACAAGCAGAAGAGTCTCGTCTTCAAGCGGAAGAGGATCTTATAAACATGAAACTTGATCATCGAAAAGAAATTGATGATGTTCGTGATAATTATGATAAGCTTATAGCAAAGATGAATGAGACATCTAATTCAACAGTGGCACAATTAACTTCTGAAATTACTCTATTAAATAAACAGGGTATGACACTAACAGAAAATTTAAGTCGACAAGTTGATATATTGAATCATGAGAAAGAACATCTAAATCAAGAGCTACAATCACTTAATGAGAAGCATAATATCTTTATTAAAACTTTAAATCAAACTCAAGTTAAACAATTACAAACACTTTATGAATTATCAAGAACTAAATCTGAAATTGAATATTGGAAAACACAACATGAGTATGAAACTTCGAATGTTAAACGACTTAACAACAACCTTCAATCGATTGAACATAAGTATGAATCATTGAGATCATCTACTCTACCAGAATTGCAACAACAACTTGAAAATATATCGGAAATAAATAATGTATTAAAACATAAAAATCTGGAATTACAAAAATACAATGAACTTTATATCGCTACATTAAAACCTGCCATCACTATTGCACTCTGTCAAAGAGCTGACACCATCAACAAACCTATCAAGAAACTCATCGACAATATTACCACACCCATTGGTCAACGACTCGTCCATCACTCTCCAAAATGAATCATGCCTGCCTAACCGAGGACCACAACCCAAACCAAGGACCACAATCCAAACCGAAGACCACAACCCAAACCGAAGACCATTCTCTCCCTCTCAGAGAGAGAGAGTTGTCCCCTCTCATACCAGCATATCGATAGAAAATGTTTTGCCCACACAATGAGCGCATACCAATGCGCGCATACCAATGCGCGCATACCAATGCACACATACCACACACTACATATAATCAATTAATTTCCTACAATAACCATGTCCTCGAATAACCAGACACCATCAGCTAGCACTTCGGTCGCACACCCTGACGCTTCTTTCCCTTTCCTGCACTGCGTGGCTATCTAATCCGTTTAGTATCGCTCCCAATGGTCGTCGTCGTCGCTGGCACAGTGGCGTGGTTATTGTGGAGGTCTCTATTACGGCACTCATGGACTTTTTATTCCTTCTTACCCCGGGCAGCACTACTGACCTCCCACAGTCTCCTCCCCTTTCGGCGATGCGCTTGTATCCTCTCTGCGCTTGTTGTCTCAACAACCCTTTTTTTCCCTGTTAGGATTATCTATCTCCCTGGCGGTGGTGAGTCTGTGGTTACGTCGTCACCAACCCTCACGAATATGGTCCCAGTTTCCGTTTGAGTACCTAGAGCGTCCGCACGTGTGTGCGTGTTCGAGCTTGCACACTGTCGGTTTCGATGGTCGGCTTCGATGGTCGGTTTCGATGGTCGGTTTCGATGGTCGGTTTCGATGGTCGGTTTCGATGGTCGGTGTTTTAATTTAATTTAATTATTTTAAATTTTGTTTTTAAAAGTCATGCGAGGGTGCCGAGGCGAAGCGAATTATTGGCGGAAGCCGTTGCTGGGAATGAGTGTGTTGATGGCTGGACAGATTGTCATTGTGCCGACGAATGGGCGCGATCAACTGACGTGTGGTCTGGCCGCTGAGGAGAAGCGCGTGGTCTATCAGTGCGTGCCATTGTCGGTGCTGGGGTCTCTGTTACCGAAGACGCTGGAGGCACGACGTATGATGGACCTGCGGTCGACGGTGGTGAGGATGACCGAGGCCGCGCGACGAGAGCACCGACTAGCGGTCGGCCGGAAACATCCTGGACTCAGCTCGGAGCAACTCGCCAAGGCCAGAGAAAAATTGAGACAGGCCGCATTAGTCAAGCAGGGAGATGCCGACAGGGCCAGAGATGAAGCATTCGCCAAACTCTGCGTGGAGCATTTTGACAGGATCAGGCAAGCCGAATTAGCCAGAATCGAAGAAGCCGATGACGACGCCACAAACCGGTCACCGCGAAACGTGTCGGATGATGATGCATCAAACATGAGCGCTGCATCGCACTCTAGCTGTGGCTCAGACGTGAGCGGTCACAGCTGGGTCGCCGCCGGACGGCCAGATCCGGGTGTTGAAAATTTGCGGTCGCTTGGAACCCCGCCGACGGCCGAAGAGGAGGCAGATGAAGAGGCGCGTGAGACAGCCAGAGCGGCGTTCTTCGCCATGCTTCGGGAAGGAGATGATAGCCAAGGAGACGATAGCCAAGGAGATGATAGCCAAGGAGATGATAGCCAGTCTGTGGCGGGCCCAACTGACGACAATGAGGACTCGCACATAAGCGCAAGGTCCAACATAAGTGCAAGGTCCAACATCAGCGGTAGGTCCAACATCAGCGGTAGGTCCGACATCAGCGGTAGGTCCGACGTGAGCGGTGGGTCCAACGTGAGTGCGAGTACGTATGGCGATTCTCAGAGCAGTGACGCGCGCGAAAGGAGTGCGGAGGAGTTCAATGCGTTCTTCGAGAACGAGATTAATGAGTATGTCTCGGAGGGAGAGGAGTCTCGTTCTCAACGTCGTTCTCAACCAGCTTGGCGGACTCGGCATGGGCCGCCTCCGATTGAGAGGTTGCGAACTGTAGCCCGAGTGAACTTGAATGCGGAGTTTGGGGCTGAGCCGGAGTTTGCTGTGGACCCGTTTGGTGAGCGGCTAGATGCGGCTGACAGGGATCGGATTGTGTCGAACTTGCTCGAGTGGCCAACTTGGACGCTGGGTGCGGTTGCATTGGGTGGAGACAAGTTGCGCAGTCGTGGGCACCGTCGTCTTGCGGGTGAAAGAACACGGAAATTGTTGGAAGAACGCGCGCAAATAATCTGGCCTGTGGCGACAGCACCGACGGTTGAAGCGTTAACATCTTTGGTGAAGTACGAGGATGTCGCAGAAGAGTGTCGACGCCGTGTGAATTGGTATTGGGAGCACCGCCACGACGCCAAACTGTTTACACGCAAGACGGGTTGCGGTGTGGATCGTTGCGACAAAGTCTACGAAGGCTCCTTCTTCCCGGAGTTGGATAAAGACGAAATCTTCATCGCACTCCGCACAGTACAACGTCGACCGAGACGCAAGTCGCACAGTCCCCCCAACGTTAATTGGAGTAAAGCGAACTGTCCTGGCGTAACCTTGGGGCTAGCATCTCGTTCACGAAAGCTTGCAATCAGGAACTTCAGACACCTACAATCAAACATCAGCCAAGGCCGCGCTTTCAGACACAGTATCGGACGCATCGCAGACGCCGTCATACCCGGTGTGAGCGGCGCTCTTCTCTGCAAACCATCACAAAAGGAACCTCGTACACTTACCCCACGGAAGATTACCCCACGGAAAAAGTTCGCTTGCTAATTACACCGTAAAATTGACGACCATTCATCTTTTTCTGACCGGAATACACATAGAGAAGTTAAGTACACAGTTGGTTGGGGTGTGTGGTGCAGCACACGTGTGTGTGTGTGTTTGATCCACTGGGAGTGTGTTTCTAGTAGCTATAGTTTCATTAGAAGGCAGTTGGTTCCTTGAAAAAGAAGCGACGTGCTTCCCGCCCCTGATTCTGCACCTGATTTTGCACCTCCCCCCCTTGGTACTTCCACTGCCTAATTGGCCATACCACCGAAGCCAGTTGGTCTGGCAGGTTCATCTACGTATGCTTCGAGGTATTCTGTCATGATATGTATGGCTCTAGTTTGTATGGTGGTCTTGCCAATGAATTGTAGTTTTTCTAATTTAGGGAATGCTTCTGCCTCTTCGAGTTTTTCAGCATAAGGGTTGCAAGGTAGGTTTTCGTCTATTTGACGTTTTTTGCCAACCTTGAGTATGTTTTCAATGGCTTCGAGAGCAATGCCAGCGACTTTTGGATCGATTGCGTCGAGAACAGATACAAGTGGTCCAATGCATTCGGCATCAACAACAGCTCGTACCTGTTGTTCAGCGCCACCAGAGGCGGCATTAGCGACGCACCAGGCTGCTTCCCGGCGTACTTCATAGTCATCATTGGCTAGTGCTTGTGCTATAACAGGTAGAACTCCAGCTTCAATAACTTCCTGGATCTGAGTTTTATTTCCAGCTGTTACATTGCTGAGAGCCCAGCATGCTTCTTTGCGTATAGGTTTCATCGAGGCTGTAAGCAGTTCCTTAAGTTTCGGTATGCAGCCGTAGCTTATCATAGTTTGTGTCTGTGTGTCGTCACCAGTGACAATATTACCTACAGCTCGTAATGCAGGTGTTTGAACGAGATGTGAACGATGACTTAATAATTCTACAAGTCTGCCGCAAACTCCGTTGCGGATGATCTCATTAATGACGTTACTATTGGGTCCATTATTAGTATCACTCATGTAACTGATTGACCAACATGCGTCTGTGATTATTTCAGGGTCATTAGAGTATAGAAGTGAACGAAGAACTGGTAAAGCTTCACGAACAATCTCATACGGCTCAGCCATCGGACCTCTACAAAAGTTACTCAACGTCCATGTAGCATAACGCAACAAATACATCCTACTCGTCTGATCCGTTTGTCTTAGTTCGCGCAAAATAGGGAAGAAACCACCTGCCTGAATTACAGCATCACGCAACTGTCTGCAGTCCCCAGCGATGTTACCCAGCGCCCAAACACTCTGTTCCTTAACCTGTAGGTGCTCAGAATCCAACAATCTCACAAACTCAGGTATCGCACCCGCTTGTACTACTGCACTCGTCTGAGCAGAATCACCACTCGCAATGTTAGTCAACGCCCATGCCGCTTCAAATTGCACATCTGGCCTTGAATCCATGCGAAGCAACTCCATAAATCGAGGTACCAAACCAGCATCAATCACTGGCTGGATAGGTGGATTGGAATGTAACGACAACATGTGGCGAATCTCCTTCGCTGCCTCACACTGTCGATCTCTATCATCTGATGCCAATGCCTCACATACCTCCACTGGTATACTCGTCACTGAACTAGCCTCTTGAGATACAACACCCGGCGCCGGCGATGCTTCCATCCTCTTCTTATTCAAACGAGCCTCACGGGCCGCCTTACGGATCTGCACCTGCTCACTCTCACGCAAACGCAACGGATCCTCAAACGACTTCTTAAAGTCCTTCCGCCTCGTATCAATACGGCTCTCCATTTCTCTTATACAATCAGCGTCACTATTTTTATATTCCACGCACGCCGCCTTAGGAATTTACAACAACGTAATTTACCACGAGCTAATATACGTAACCAAAAAAAAACCAATCCCGGGCCATAGCGGAATCAACAGCAGGGGGTCGTCAAAAATCAGAAAGCACAACACAAAAGGCACAGCATAATAGGCACAACATAATAGGCATCACGGACCTTAAACCTCACGGACCCTGAGCCTCACGGAACCTAAACATCACGGACCCTGAGCTTCACGGAACCTAAACATCACGGAACACAAGTGGGGACCAGGCATAGTTTAACACACGTGTGTGAACACACGCGTGTGTGAACACACGCGTGTGTGTGTCACTTTGTTGGGCCGCTGGGTGGCATGGTTGTTTCTCATTTGTGTTTGATTAATATGTTGGGTCACGCGGGTTCAAGGAAACATGGGCAAGAAGGCGCTCTTATTCTAGGTTCTTGCTTCCATTTAGAAAGTTTATCGGCTGGTGTGTCTAGTGAGTTTGATGGTGGTTGTATCCGTGTGTCAAGGTCGAGTGTCGGAGAACGAATGTTTGAAGTGAAGCTCAAGTCAGTTGGTGCTAAACCATTGGGTCAAGGACTACGTCTCATATGTTCGATAGGCGAAGCGGATAGTTCGGATCCAAAGCAATTTACTGACCTGAATTGGGTAGCAAGACGGGCACGAACATTAAAGGTAGTTACGGAAGATGGGAATCCGCCGGATATTTCGGACCCCATGCTTAAGGAAGTATTCCGCAATATTGTATTTGTTAGTTGCCGCGAGGTTGGCCTCTATCCCCATCAGGTTGGTGTGCCACTTGTTATGTCCGTTATGCGTGAAATATTCCAGAACTATCTTGACTCCTTCACCGTCAAAGCATTCCTTGACGAATACAAACAGGACATCCAACAACATGACCAATGGCAGACTACAAGTCGTAAACTCCATCAACTAGCACGTGACCACGTACTCAATCGTCAACCCGAAAATGAAACCTGGTCGAATGATATAGATTCAGACACAGATTCAGACGCAGATTCAGACACAGATTCTGACGACTTCATGATCCTGGAAAAATGCACAACTGCACAAGAGAAAACCTGGCTCACAATACCCACTGCGGTCAACAACATAATACGACCCGTGACCGACATAATTGGTGCAACCTGGCGCTGGATACACCAAGACACCGAAGTTAGTGATGATGACAACTTTTGATGTGGCCATGATGTGAGTTTTGTTGGGTCTTAGGGTTTTCGGGAAGCTCTAACTCGTAAGTTTAGGGTTTAAAAAAAAAAAAAACCAGGGTAAGAATTCGATGCTAGGTTCACGACTTGGCTCTAGAAGGCCAGTAGTTACTCTTTTGGGCGCATGTTTTCGTTACGATACTTTTTCGCCTGTTGATGTGGATGACCATGTGGATGACCATAGGTATGATTTGGTGAGGACAAGTGAGGTGGACACAGTTGTGACGATCGTTTCTATTCATTGCTTGAAGAAAGAGGGGAGAGACTGATGTGCTTAGTATCTAAAGATGATCTGCCTACAAATGCTGAAGAGCTAATGGAGGGTCGTCAGTACACGGACCTACGTTGGATTGCGTGCAAGTCACGAAGATTCCAAGTCATCACTGATGATGGGCTTGCACCGAATCTTAGAGATCCTGTTGTACGTGATTTCTTCCGAGACATCATCTTCCTCAACTGTCATGAGATAGGTCTTATTCCTCATCAAGTTGGTACGGTAAGAATCATGTCAGTTCTGAAAGAGATGTTCAGCCGATATCTTGACTGCCCCATCACTACTGAGTTCATGAAGAGATATGAGGCCGAAATAAACGCACAAAATCGAGGACCATCTACTTCCAACCAAGAACAAGATTCGAACGAAATACTTTCGGGTGAATCTCGGGCTAATTATCTAAACAAACTTTCCAACTGGATCTCGACTCGAAGTGAACTCAATGTCGGGCAAATGTCATGGGACACTGCTGCACTCTTGAACGGCGATAACTTGTCGGAAAACTCCATGCCAGCTGATTGCCATGAAGAAAAGACAACCGATCAGGGACTGGGAAAGTGGCTTAGTGACACCGGCACTGCTGCTGCTACAGCTGTAAACGACACCCTGAAAAATAACACCTGGAGGAATGAGATGATCGAAATTATCCGACCAGTATCCAATGCAATTGGGGCGGCATGGCTATGGCTAAACGAAGATGTGTAATAACTTGTAGACCTCACTATTATTACGGGACCTTTTTCATAACCCGTTGACCGACCACTAGCCTCATGACTCCGACCACTAGCCTCATGACTCCGACCACTAGCCTCATGACTCCGACCACTAGCCTCATGACTCCGACCACTATGCTAGTCGGTCATTCATTACTGTCAACACAAATTCACATAAGGTTTCACAGCTCAAAAAACCAACCGTGCGTGTGTGTGTGTGCACACACACGCACAATATTTGACGGTTCTTTATTTGGAGCATATAAAAATGTTAACGATGGAATTGTCATCTAATTCGATCTCTGCCTGAGCCAGAATCGGTAAGGAGGGCTGTGTCTGTATGATTTTTAGTTCCCGTTTGAAAGTGGATTTGAGCATTTCTTCTAGATCAATAAGTATTTCGGATTTGATAAAGGCAATATTTTCGTTATCTTCAACTTTTAATCCGGCCTCCTTACGTAATTTTTGAAGTTTGTTGACAATTTCTCGACAGTAATATTTTTGTTTCAGTTCTTGAGTTTGTTCCAAGTCAGCAACCATGACAACATCTGAAGCGCATTCGACGGCGGTTTTATCATCATCGTTGAAGCCCACAGGTGTTCTGTTGATGAGTAGATCTTCTGGTAGTAGTATGATTTGAGGATCGATGGGAATTGATCCGTTATTTTCTAGTTGACATAGTTGTTGATGTGTTAGTTTTTTGATAGCTGGTCCTAAGGTAGCGAGTTTGTTGCCATATTTTGTTGCTAGTAATCGTAGGTTTGGTAGAGCACTTAATTTGATATGATCATTCTCTAATTTGAATAGTATTTGAAGAGTATTTAATTCTTGTTTGATATATTTTTGGAATGATGATGATGTTTGAAATTCTTTTATTAATTCATATTTACCAGACATTATAATAATCTGTTTAAGACATTGTTTCATACTTATATGTTTACGATCACGTAATTGTCGTCCTAAAATAATAATATTTTGAAGACTTGATATTTTTTCTTCCAATCGTTGATTTATAAGTTCTTCTTTAACTTTAGGAAACATTAAATGATGTATAGAATCCATCACATTATTATCTGAATTTATAATCTTAAGTTGTTGGTAAAGATATTCTGACATGAATGGTGTAAATGGTGCCATAAGAGTAGTAAGTATAAATAATACATGATATAGAACCGAGAGGGATATAAGAGGATTCGAACCACCACCACCTCGCATACGTTCTCGATTAAGTCTAATATACCAATTTGTCAATTGATCCATAAATTGTAATAATTGATGACATGAAGTATATAATCTGTAATTATTCATTTCAGCTGTAACATAACTCACCAATGAATTAACCTTTGATATTATCCAGTAATCCAACTCATTCAACTCATCATCATCATCATCATCATCATGTTCCCCGGTTGTCAATTCACGGGTTGTCAATCCCCCGGTTGTCAATCCCCCGGTTGTCAATTGATCAAGATGATAAGGTATGAAACGTTTACCAATACTTAATTCATAACGAGTAATTTCTTGGCAAAGGAATCGTGTGGAATGATACCATGGTAGTAGAATATTTTTACAAATATCTTTTACACCATCTTCTGTAAATCTAAGTGATTCAGCTTTTAATACAGGTGAATTAATAAGATATAATCTAAGAGCATCAGCACCATATTTACTAAATATTTCATCTGGTGGTGGATAATTCTTTAAACGCTTACTCATCTTCTTACCATCTTGTGCTAATACTAATCCATTTACAATTAAATTCTTAAAAGGTGCAGAACCAAATAATGCACAACTGATTACTGATAGAGTATAAAACCATCCACGGGTTTGATCTAATCCTTCTCCAACAAAGTCCGCTGGGAATGACTTTTCGAAATTCTCTTTATTTTCAAATGGATAATGTTTAGAACCATAAGGCATCGAACCTGATTCAAACCAACAATCGAAAACTTCGTCCACACGATGCAATGGTGGATACTTCTCAGTCTCATTATTACGAGGATCAGGTATCGTCAATTGGTCAATAAAGTGTCTATGTAGATCATTTATACATTTTCCTGTACATGCTTCAAGTTCTTCACGACTGGTTATACACTTTATAATTTTACCATCTTCTGATACCCAAAGTGGTATAGGTGTTCCCCAAAATCGATTACGACTCACACACCAATCTCGACTGTCTGCAAGCCAATTATGGAAACGTTTTACTTGTATATGTGGTGGTATCCAACGTGTTTCTTGATTATTAATAATTAATTTGTCTTTTAATCTTTCAACATTCACAAACCATGATGGTACAGCTTTGTATATTAAAGGTGTTTCCGAACGATAACAATGTGGATAACTATGTACTATAGAACCATCAAATAATAAACGTCCTCGAATCTTAAGTTCCGAACGAATAACTTTGTCTGCATCCTTTACATGTAAACCTAACAACGTTTCATCTACTGGCTCTATCAAACAACCCCCGTCATCCACATGACATGGTGACTCACCACCCTTCTCTATCACTCCATACAACAATGCCACACGCGCATCATCCTCTCCAAACGCTGGTGCACAATGCACTATACCTGTACCACTCTCAGCCGTCACATAACCATCTACCATCACACGCCAAGCACGACCTGACCAGTAAGACTTTCGCGAAAAGCAATCGTACATCGGCTCATAACATAAACCCGACAATCGCGCACCTAACACACCTCGTAACAACCAACTGTACTTCGGCACATCAACAGCTACCACGGCAGATGTGTCCATCTGCTTCCCCGGTGTCGTCTCCTTCCTGACGCTTTCTTTGTCCTTCGTCTTACTCGCAGACTTCGTTTTCGTCGCAGACTTCGTCTTCGTCGCAGACTTCGTCTTAGTAAGCTTAAGTTGGGCCAAAACTTGCGGCGCTAACAATTCAGCAACCCAAAATTTACGGCCTGTCTCCATCACCTGGAACAGGCCGTACTCAAGCTCCGGGTGTACTGTCAATCCCATGTTGGCCGGTAGGGTCCAGGGTGTGGTGGTCCAGGCTAAGAATTCCGAGCCGGTGATGAGCTGCAGCTCTGTAGCGTTGAATCGCGCGATGGCGGCTGTCTCGGCCGGAGAAGCCTCGGTGGATAGGCGTAAGGGAAAGGAAACGATGATGCTGGGGTCGCTGACATCTTTGTAGTTTTGACCGGCCTCGAAGTTGGACAAAGGTGTAGAGCACGCAGTGCTGAACGGCATGACTTTGAAATCTTTGTACACAAGTCCCTTTTCAAACAACTGACCGAACACCCACCAAACAGATTCCATAAAGGACAAGTCCATGGTCTTATAACCATTGTCAAAATCAATCCACCGTCCCATCCGTTCCACTGTACTCTTCCATTCAGTCTGATACTTCATTACAATGCCACGGCACTCCTCATTGTAATTAGCGATACCTATTTTCTCAATCACATCATTGCGCGAACGCACACCCAACTTCTGGTCTATCTCGTACTCCACAGGTAGACCATGGCAATCCCAACCGAACTTTCGTTCAACGTGATGCCCTGTCTGATGAGCATAACGAGTCACCACGTCCTTTATCGCACCCGTCAGAATGTGGCCATAATGAGGTAACCCTGTAGCAAATGGAGGCCCGTCATAGAAATTGAAAGCTGGCTTGCCCAAAGACAACTCTATTGAACGCTCGAAACACGAATGTGTATTCCAGTACTCTAAAATCGCCGTCTCGTTCGCCGCAAAGTCTGGACGCTCGCTTATCACCTCTTCGTACGTACGCGAACCCATTCCCCGCCGACTTTGATTTTTTTTTTACCAACTCGAAACGCGTAAAGACACACAGACGAACAGAACAACCAACCAATCAGGCACCCAATAGGCAGAGAAAGGAAGGGAAGGGAAGGGAAGGCAGCCAACAGGCAGGGAAGGGAAGGGAAGGGAAGGCCAACAGGTAGGGAAAGGTGGGTAATGCTCATCGAAACTATTTGAAGTAAAGCACCCAGTTATGTAAATAATCTGCTATTGTTGGAGCCAGTGAACTTAAAGACTTCAAAACCACCTAGAAATAACGTGTCCGACATGTAGGCACAAGGGGGGATAATGTACAAGGGGGGTAATGTACAAGGTAGATAATGTACCAAGGGGTCTAAGGGAGGTATGGTCGGGGTCATGCACAAGGAATCATAAGGTTATAATTATTTACGTCGTGAGTTAAGAACTGAATCGAGAGTATATCGTCTTTGCTGAAATTAAGTCTCCCTAATCCTTTGCTGAGCATGAGGTGCTGTAGAGTGGCTTCATTGTTGGTTCTTGTTTGTAAGTGTTTTCTAGTATATTGTATGTCTTGTATAGATGTATTACTAACTAGTTGGAAGAGGAGTTTAAGTTCATAGGACGTTTTCTTAAGGTTGAACCAAAGTGTAATTATGCGTATGACAAGAGTGATAAAAGTATTGCTACTTATGCCTCCCAGAGCGTAAGTCATTTCGTTAGTAAGACGCATGGGAACCCGTGCGAAAGGTTTAGGATCGTTGCCGAGAATATATCCGTAGTCGACATGAAACATACGGCCGTCCCGAGTAATCATCAGATTATCCAGATGACGATCTCCCACTCCCATGATGTAGGTAAGCACGCAGTGGGCAGCAAGCGACTCAACAAAATTGATCTTGTTGCTCTTAGAAGAAAGGATATGACTCAGCAATGGTGTGTGCCCTTTCCCGAGCGAAGAAAAGGCCATAGACCCATCCACGAACTCAATATAACCTTCCTCACCAGACAATGGCAACACCCTGTACCGGTCCAGATGTGTACGTAATCCGAACACACGTGTGCACACATCATGCTCTACAACTCGCAACACATCAACCACGTAACAATCCTGCCGCAAATCGTCATTCAACTTGTACAAAAGCCGGAAACCTGCCCACTCACTCTGACTCAATTCCTCCCACTCCTCCCGCGGCGAACTCACAATCGAATCAATGTCCAACGTCCACGGCTCCTCCTCCGACTCGGAAGGAGGTCGTTCTCGGTCACCAGGCCGTTCTCCATCGCCAGCCCCTTCCCGGTCGCCGGACCGCTCTCGGCCGCCGGACCTATCGGAGGCTCGCAGCCTCTCCCGCTCTGGATCTCGTTCGGACCCAAAGAGGTCGCTAATTAAAGAAGTAATGTCCGAGCCGCTTTCGGACATACCATCGCTTGACACGGACCCTCCACCGTTGGTCTCCTCTATAGCGGTTTCGTCATTACAGCTTTCGGTGGCAACCGGCGACCGGCTCGGGTGCCCACAATTGGGTTGACCGCAGTTCGGGGGCTGGGCGGAGCTAGGGGGTTGGTCACAATTGGGTTGCCCACAATTGGGTTGCCCCGCTCCGTGTTGACCGACTCCGTGCTGACGGGGATCGTGGGTGCAGCTTGGTTCGAATTTGTGGGTCACGCAGTCAATAAGCATGGGGTACTTTGAACTACGAATAACCACTGAGCGCTCGTAATTGAGCGAATCGAACATCTGCATGGGCTGAATGGGCAACGGAAAACCGTGTTGGGCGGTCGGGGAGAAGGCGGAAGAGGTAGCCAGTCGGCTCTCTTGGCGGAGGTAACGGCCAAGAGGCGACTCTGAGTTTTCCAACTGCGTTAAGGCGGCGGCAGGAGCCAGGGTTATGGTCTGGAGCAAATCCCGCATCCGCGTAGTCTTTTGAATGGCCGTATCCAGACGCTGCGAAGCTGCCTTCAAACGAGTCGAAATGCTGCCAAGCGTGTCCCGGAATTGCGCCTGCGCAGCGAAACATTTGACGATACTTAAGCAAGATTCGCAACGTAGACCGGACCCGAGCTCGATTGTCTCCATTTCCCTGAGTAATTCAATTGCCCAGCTTTGATTCTCGCTTGCGATCATCCATAACGTATTCAATAGAAACGTCATCAGTTCTCCAAACGGCGCGCACACGCGTGTGCACACATCTTCGAGTCCCAAAATATCCCCGGCGGCGGCCGGGGAGCCGCTTGCTGCTGCTGATGTGCCCTCAGCGGTTGATGGCCCCGCGTCAAGTGAATGGAAGGCCTGCAGGGCTTGCAACAGGCACTGCCGCACCCACTCTCGGCATATGCTGGCTTTTTGAGGATTCGAACAGCAATACTGGATGAAGAAGTAGATCACCCGTGTCCGAACGCCCCAAGAGCAGTACAGCGTCATCAGGTTGCCTACCAGCCGCGTCCGCAGCCCGGGGTGGCTCACAGCTAGTTGGTTTACGTCTGCGTTCATGACGAGTTCAGTTAGCAGCGGCTTGATCTTGAGCAAGTTGTGTGAAGCATACACCTCAACCAACCGCAGGAAGCAAGCCTCGCTGGGCAGCCCCGATCGGGTTGCCAAGTGTGCCACGGTGTCCATTACTCGAACCAGGACTGTGATGTTCGTCATATTGCGATGCACCAACTCTAAAATGCCAAGACCGCGAATAGGATATGGCGCAGAACGGAGGGACATTGGGCGAGGGGAGATTCGAGTGGGTGGTGCGTACCATTGGCAAGGTCTAGGACGATGGAGTGGTTGCGGTTTGCATCCCAGCTTTTTTTGAGTTCGGTGGCAATTTTTGAAGAGGTGTTTCCGCCTTTCTTATATGGGCTCCTCTTTACCTTGATAATGTGTTTGCAGGAGCTGCAGCGGAAGTGCTTGGCAAAAGACCATTTGTGCTGCACGGCCAGGTGCAGATACGGCACGCTCACAGTCGCTTTGGTGCGCACCTCCTCCATGTCCTCCAGGTCGATGTTGTACTTCTGCAATAGCGCCGCCGCCCGTGGTTTCGGGTTCCAGCGTGTGTCTGGTGGTGACCGACGGGGGTTTGCCTGTGGTTCGTTCGGTGAAAGGCCGTTGCGTATTGCGGAGCTTTTTCGGAACTGGTTGCTCAGTTCGAATACGGTTCCTCTCATTCTTTCGGGACGTACCTTCAGGTCCTGCTTCAGTACTGACCGTTCAGACTGGATTTTCAACAAGTGGCCTTCATACGTCGAGCAGAACTGGGTCATTTTGACCGCCACGGGTTCGTCCCGTACCACGATAACAGCGGGGCCTGCAGCCGGTGGCAGAGGCAGAGGTGGCAGCACCGAGTAGAAGAAAATGCCTTGACCTTTGTGTAACACTAACCACTTGATTAGGCCGATACACCGGATGTTGTCCTCGGTTAACAGCAACTGCTCCAGACTATCAGCCACTGACCGGTAACCGGTGGTTAAACAACAAATTCTTCGCGACGGCACAAGATCTTCCAAGCTCCCCTGTGCTCGAAACACGATTCCGCCCCGCTGTGGTCCTCGATCCCCTCCCCGCTGTGGTCCTCGATTCCCCATTCCAGATCCTGGTCCGGATGGTAACAGGCAGTGGTCCTTAACTACTATACGTACCTGTCCGTCTTCACAATTAACCGGTCTTATGGATGTCAGATCCAAGATACTTAAACACGTGTTTACAGCCTGAATCCACCCCAAATTGCCCTGTGACTTGATGCCTGTTGTCGATTTATTGTCGGTTCCCTTGGCTGGCGAAAATGGTTGAGTCTCCGCATCGGAAGGGGACAAGGATAGGCAGGGTAGGATTGCTGATCTGGACCCGAGATGAACGTGGGCCGTTGATGAGGAAATGGACCCCTTGGGTAGTATGAGGAATTCAGGGCGGATTTTCATTGACAGAAATGTTTGCGGTAGGACACTTCCCTGTTCCACACACGATTACACGTGATGGGTGTGGTGTGTCACAGTGTGTCACAGAGCGACGGGTGTTTCGTAGACTGCACGACCGAGTGGGTACGCGCAACAGAGCGGGCCGGGCACTCTCAATGACGCGTTGCCCACGTCCCATAACCTCTGTCCGCGACAACTGTCCGAGTCGACCACGACCTTTGGGAAGCTCAAGTGTTTCTTGAACAACGTCGACAATAAGAACCCCTCCTTGTTCCGTATCCGAGTGAACGATTACCTCTACCGTAAGCACTTTTTGTCTCTTCCCGGGCGGGCTTCTCTCCCCCGCCAATTCCCGCTCCCTACCCTACCCCCCCCCCGCCAA